AGCCCGGGCGTGCGAGCCGCGCCCACCGGACTGACCTCCTCCGGCCGCCGCCGCTCGCCCGGGTCTCCGGTCCACCTGGCCCCGACCCCGCTCCTCAGCCTCCGCCGCCGCCTCGGAGCGCCTCTGGCCCCGCTCGCTCTGTTTGTTTTTGTTTTGTTCTACCCAGTAACACGGGGGCGACGGCGTGGCGTTTATTGGCCGAGAGGAGGAGGTCCGGCAGCCAATCGTGGCGGCGAAGCTGCAGCCCCGGCGGAGAGGGAGGGAAGTGAAACGTGGAAAGTCGGGGCGGGGCGCTGGGGGGGGCACCGACGGTCGGCGCATGCGCAGCGGCTCGGGGCCCGCTCCGCGGGAAGTCGGGGGCGGGTGGAGAGGGCCGGAGGGTTGTGCCGGAGTGGGGGCTGGGGTGCGGCTCTTCGACCCGCCTCGCCTGGTCTCTCCCCAGGGCGTCGGCAGACTCAGCCAGCTCCAAAGCTGTGGATTTCCTGAGGTCCCCTCCATTTCTGGGCGTGTAGGGAAGCCATTCTCTTCTTACTTCTGCCCCTGGCCCTGGCTCACGCGTGGCTCCTACCGTGTGTCCACGTGCTCAGAAGTTTCTCGCAGCAAAGGCCTAAGCCCTTTGAGATAAAAATCGTTTCCATTTCCCAGATACAGAGAATCAAAAACTGAAGGCCCTTTGCTAAGCAGCCAGGCCACTGTGGTTCTTGCATTCTGGATTTCAAGGCTGGGTTTCTCAACCACGGCTGCAGTTTGCGTATTGAAACAGCCTTCTGTGGCTGTCTCGGGTGACTTTTCCTTCTGTCTGCCATCTCTGGGGCTCATCTAGCTCTCATTTTGTCTGGCTCGTTATCTCCTGAGATAGTGTGCAGTGCCTTATGATCTCCCTGTGCCCTTGTAAAAGGACTGACCCGCTTTCTCTGGCCATGTTCACCTTCAGGCTGCAGCAATAGCCGAATGATCGCTTGGTCTTTTCAAAACTGAACTGCCTCCTCGCTCAATAGCAACCACCATCCCCTAACTTATGCCTTACTGCCCTGTCTCCTGCCTGGCGTTATCTAATTACACACACACACACACACACACACACACACACACACACACACACACACGCTCCTTCACAAGCACCCCACTACCTCCCTGGGGTTCCTGCTTCTCAGCAGACATCCTACAACCCACAATGTGACTTAAAGGCTTTGAGGCCATGTCTCCACACCCTTCCTAGTCAGTCCGTGGATACCCCTTCTCTGAAACCCACTTGGGCAGCTCACTGATCCACATCCTCGCTTGTGTCTTGACAGGTCTTTATCATATCATCTTGAAATGCCTGGTACATCCATGTCTCTTGGCCTCCCTCAGTCTTTGTCAGGTCTCACGCCCATATGATCCACTTTCTGAAACCTGATTCCTCGAAGTATTGGCCTGTCGTGCCTCTGAAGGCACTGATCCCATTCTATCTGGCATTCCTTTATCTGAGTCCTGGTCCTGGCTTGTCCCCCTAAGAACATGGCTTTGTTGGACACAAGATCTGTGTCTCACTCATCCTTTGTATGTGTGCTTAAGAAGCCGCTTTGTAGATTTATTAACCCATGCAGTAAATATACATTGTGTGAGTTCACAGAGGATTCTAGCCGTTGGTGGTGATCACCAGCTCTTGGTCGGGGGCTTCTTCACATGGCCAGCATCTGAATTAGCCTCATGAGTCATGATCATTATGTATAATCAGAGCTTCCTAGCCACTCAGTTTTGTGGCTTATTTAACTATCTGCAGCTGTCTCCTTTCTCTCCCCTAATCTGTGGCTGCTGGCTTCTTTTTTCCCCATCCCTCTCTTGACTTTAATTCTTGACCTTTTCTCCCAGCCTGCCACCATCTGCAGACGCCTGCTAAGTTTTTCCCTTTGCTCACTTGTTTAGCACAAGGTATAGCCAGGTTTGTAGGGCAAATATCCCCAAACCTCTGAAATAAGAATACAATATAATCCCCAGTTTAAAAAGAGCACCTTAGACCTCTGAAATCATGTTAGCAAATCTCCCCAGAAGAGGGATCTAATAGAGAACAAAATATAAAACTGTTATCAAGTCTGCCCTGGCAAAGGGGACTAATGGAGAATAAAACATTCACATCCATTTTGCTCGCCGTCTCAACCCTCACCCCAGTATTCTGAAATCCCAAAACCCACCTTAGTATGTGGTTGACCAGTCTGGGCAGACAGGAGTAATGGTCTAGTCCCAGGTCCCCTGCTACCAATAACAACTCCACTTCCTCCTCAAGACTTCTGTTTCTTCACCAGTAAAATTCAGATGGTATTTTCAGAAGCATATGAATTTTGCAATATTTTAATAGGCATCCTAAAAAAAGTGGAGGAGAAACTGTTTCATAGCCACATCTTGGGAAAAGGGAGTTTCAGAAAAGTTAAACTTTCCTTTACTACGCACTCTTAGCATCTTTGGTGGGCAGCCCAAGAAACTTGACGTCTACTTATTTGAACACAGAACTCTTAGGCTTCAAGACAGCCCAGAATATGTTGAAAAAAAAAAAAAAAAAAAAACCAGCTTGGGAGTATAGATGATAGCCACCGTCACCAACACTGCTTCTAGCCAAACTGAACCCTGATCATCTGTGCCTTTATAGCTAAATGTTTTAAAAGAATAAAAATTAAAGAATGAACTAGAAATAGAAAAATAGCCAGGTGCCAAGAATTCTTGCCTAGCAAATCAATCTACAAGTATTTGTTGGCTGCTTATTCTATGAAAAGCACCTAATTTATCCATCTGTGTCCTTGGCAAAAGGCATTTTTCTATCCTAGGAGAGCTAATACCTGAGGCCTAGGACTCCCCAGGCTCTCTGGCTACCATGTGTACTTTCATGTCACATTATAAACTCTCATAGACTTTTTGTTACTTAAAGCCCTTTGCCTATGGGCTTCACATTTATTTTGCTGTTAGATATGAATTTCCTTTCCTCTTCACTCATTCATTCCAGAATAATGGGATTGTAACTTCCATTTCCTTTCATAACAACTCATTCCAGGAAAGAAAAGACCAACAATAACCTAGGACAAGCCACCTGTTCAGAAGTGACAGCAGAATCTTTGCTGTATGATCAGATGGGCGTTACAGAGCTCAGTTTCCCAATATGCCTCAGGTTTAAGCCCTGTTAAGATGCACAGAGAAGTGTATTTGGCTTGTTGGGGTTTGTGAGAAGGGAGATAGAGTTCCTAAGTTTTGCTTTTAAGTTATTGGCTTTGTTCCTAACTGCATTGCCTTGGGCATTTTCAACTTCTCTTCCCTAGATCAATGGAATGCTCCACTGTTCTGGACTGTAAAAGAAGGAATTATCGACTCTGAGGGGTCACACCTTGGGATACTATGCAAAGAACGTAGGTTGCACCACAGGAGTCCTGGGAATGAAAAACCGGAGGTGACAGGATTTTCCTCTAATGTCTGAAAGGATTCAGTGAGATGCTGGTAAAATAATTGTCACAATCTAGGAGCTGTCTCTGGGTGCAAGGCTTTGATAATACAACATCCCCTCCATCCCAAAGGCAGGAAGAGTGATGGCAGAAGCCAGGCATGGTGGCCATACCTGTAATTCCAGCAGTTGGCAGAGAGAAGCAAGAGGACTACCAGGGGTCCAAGGCCAGCCTGGGCAACAGCATGAAGCCATCCCCTAAACAAGCCAAGAAGAGAGGGACCGACGGTGGGTGTCAGGCCGGGCATGCTAAGGCGTTCCTATGAGTGAACTGCCTAGAAACACACAGGCGGAAGGCAAACTCCTGAATGTCTGCAGGTGGCTGTGGACCTCAGAGCCAGTCCATGCTTTGGACAAAGTCACATTTGAGATCTGAGAGCTCTGACTGAGCACTGGTCAAGCTCCTGCATGAAACTGAGAAGCAGCCATCTTTCTGGGGAGTAAAAGTAGATCTAGCCCACTTCCTTCGCAAGAACTTGCAAATGAGATTGTCATTTGCATCAACTTCATTCACGGGCACAAACAACCCTTTTGTCTCCTTTTGTAGAAGCCAAGATTTTAGGAATTTCCCCAAGAGGCCATGTCTTCTTTAGCACAAATGGTGAAAGACTTGAAACATGGCCTAAAGAGGAAGCTGCAAAAGGAATCCTAGTGATGACAGCTGATGTTTGCCTGTTTTGAGGTTTCCTGAGCACTTTTGTGTACACTTTCACCAGTGGACCCAGTGATGTGGATGAGACACTCTGTGCTTCAGAGGCGAGAGAAATGAAGCTCAAGCAGGTCTCTAGTAATCATGGGACTTTTATGCTGAAAGCAAACTTTTCATTTACTAAGTAGAGAAACAGATCCAGAGAAACTGAGTGAGTTGTCCAACCCTCATAACTAGTTAGAATCAAAGCCAGAGAGAAAATAAGGTTTCAGCACACAGGTCCAGTAGGGATCCTACGGACAGGAAGGGTCCAGATGTTTAGAAGCCCGGCTGGACCACATTGTTCCTACAGCTCAGTCCTGAGTCTTTTCAGGGAAAGTCAGATATCTGGACCCCAGCACCTTCTGCTCTCGGGTGACCCCATCTCATTTGAATACCCTGCAAGTAAAGACGCAGGATGGACTAGGATGGAGAGGATGTGCCTGATGTTAAAAATGCTTCCTAGACATTCTCCAGAATCTCATTCCTGGGCTGCAGAGCATGGCATGATCAGAAGCATAGCACAAGTATGCTCTGCACAGCAGATGCGACACCTTACCACAGGGTAAACCAAGGAGTGCTGAGTGACTGGAAGCGTTTACTTCACTTCAGCTCCTCAGAGGTTTTGTGGTACTTATTTTGTGGTCTTTTGTAGGACTTATTTACCAAGTCAGTCCTACCACCTTAACAAGTTAGAAACAAGCTCAGCTAGGGATGAGGAACTCCCGAAAAACTCATTTCCCTTTAAAAAAAAAAATAAAAGAAAATTTTACCACATCTCCTACACCTACACCTGCCCTGACTTCTAAGCCTGTGAAAGATGCAGCTCCTCAGTCTTTTGCAAATTGGTCATGGAGCCCCATGCTTTCCAGCGCTTAGATCACTGCTCCACCCTACCCTTAATTACGTGGTGTTGGGCTCCTCCCCTCGCATCTCTGAGGGCTTTATTTGCATTCTTCTGGAACACTGGGTTCTTGGCTAGGCATCCTGTCTCAGAATTAACCCTCTCTT